TGGAATGCAGGGCATCAACCAATAGGCATGCAGCTTTCCTCTATACTTCTTGCTGATTGGCTGTTGGGATTTAACTTGATTAACACCTGCACAGAGCATTTCCACCTGCACAGAGCATTTCTTGCTGATTGGCTGTTGGGATTTAACTTGATTAACACCTGCACAGAGCATTTCCATACTTGACAGTATGTCTTTATTCAAGTGTTTTGGTAGGTATTTCAAGCTTTTCTGCTCCAGCATTGGAATGCGGGGTCATTGTAACGTTTTTTTTTATTTTGAAAATCAACAGTTTTGCATTATGCAATTAAAAATCCTAACCAATAAAGTAGGGAATAGCTATCCAACTGTTGTTTTAGTTGTATGTTACTTCATTATTATAGTTATATCAATGTAAATCATTGTTTTCCCTTGTGTTTCTCATTCTTTCCCTGCCATGTCGTAAAATGTGGTGAACCCATCGCTGTATTTGCTCCAAAGCAAATATTGGCCTTTCTAGTTCTAACTTAAAACCCGTTTAAGCCTCGGTCACAACCCGCCGTACGTGCTCCGGCGTGTTGTCTACGTGCAAAACGTGGGCAAAGCTAGGGCATCCGTGCGTAGTGAGTACCGCCTCCGTACGGAATCCTACGGATTTTGGAGCACGCAGACACGCCGTCAACCTTTAAGTGCATATAAAACTTTTTCTACGTGCGGTCTGCGGATTCACTACCCGTACGTGCGAGTACGGAAGACGCGCGTGCACCGTACGTAAGAAGCACGTGTGAGTACGGTCTCCTTACGGTTAAGTTGCAATCGCACAGATCGTACGTTGTAAGCACGTACAACTTACTTACCACTTGCGCAACGTACAATGCACGCAACCGCTCACGGCCAGACGTGGCGTGCAGACCCCACTATTACACCTTGCGCAACCGTGCAAGTGCGAGTGACGTGCGTAGACGCCATTCCTTCCACACATTTTCAGAAAAAAAAACGTAGCAGACGTAGCCTCCAAACGAACGTACAGACAAAAAGCACGTACGGCGAGTTGTGACCGAGGCTTTAGAGGGATCCAAACATAAGAATGGCAATGAAAAGAAACTCCCTTTTAATCTGTCGACTTGGCCTGTTTAACTAAGTGAAAATACACATTTTCATATAAAACAGCAACAGTGATTTCCACAGTTAACTTAACATTAAACACTTCATTAACCCCATTGAACATAGACAGGAACGGAAATTTCCACACCATTATTCAGTGCAGGGTGATTCTGTGCGTCAGCAAAGTTAATTTACATTTGACCGAAAGGTCGACATTACGCACTTCATTACACCCAGAATGGCAGGACGAGTGTTTTAGTGTAATCCCTACTGTGTCCAAATGAATTTATTTCCATGACATAACTTCTATTTGGGTAAAGAAGTGTGACAATCTCTACACACGTACAGCGTCAATAGTAAGATATTTTGTAAATGCCCATTTCTTATAACGTACATGACGTTAATATGACATAGACCTCCCCCCCCCAAAAAAACTAAAGTTTGTCTTGTTTACTTTGTTTATCTAAAATCATTTAGAAATACGTTTTAGTTAGAAAATACACCTATGCAGGAGACGTATATTGGCAAACAGCCTTTAGAAAGGTTTTCTCATACCATTATTCTCTATATCAGCGCAGAACAAAACAAAAGCGACCGAGCTGTGTATTCCAGAAGTTTGATTTCAACGAACTTGAGGGTACATTATTCTAGGCCCACGACATAAACTTATGGCTAGACTAAGGTTCGAGATTGCTACAGGAACTTGACAGTTCCCAAGCATAGAAAAGCTTACTACTAGCTACAAAGTAAGCATACCTTTCTTTGCTGCCGAGAGTGCTTGTTGCTTCTTCGGGAATGTTTTCGGCCAACTTTTTGATGTGCCGAATAGACTCGTCGCCTCCTGTGAGTTGCCTGTGTGCGGGGACGTCCTGTGTACTTGGCGGTTCAAAACTGACTGTCGCTTGACTGATAATCGTATCACGACGGTCTCTCTTTTATGCTGGCGACCAAAAATCACGACGCAGAGATGAGATCATGATATAAAATAAATATAGCTCAAGATAACCTACTCTTCCTGACACACCCGTTTAATGACCCCTACTTATGCAAATTCAGGGTCACACAGGTAAACACTGGGGTTTGTTTCATATGCATTCTTTTTAGACTATCATAATAACTTCTGTAGTATGCACTGTCAAACAGTAGTGACTATATCTGCACTAGCACCATTTTTACCACCCTGTTTACGTTATGTGTGGTCACTTTTCTATAGTGTGAAATCTGTCTACTTTGACCATTTTCATCAACTTTCTAGGATAGTCACTTTGTACGGATTCAAACGTGTGCCACCCACAAATATAGGCCTAAGCCAATAGTGGTCATATTGTAATCAATTCATCATTGTACACTTCATTCAGTTTTCGAGTATATGAACAGAGTAGCAGCACGACTGGTCACTCGAGAAAAAGTAAGTTATGATACGATTCAAGACATTGCCATACTAGTTGCAGTGCATAGGGATTCAAACATAACGATGACAATGAAAAGAAATTCCGTCATGTTTTGTAATCTTTCTGACCTGTTAAATTTGAAGTTTTTGAAGTGCACATTTATAACACTGATAGAGACTATTGCCCTTAATAGAGCTGGCTGGAAGTACCTGACGGAGGGAGCAAGGGGCCAGTACCTGCCCTGTGCATATGGGCAGGTAGGCAGGCAGGCTAGTTCTCGACTGGTAGGTTAATATTACACACTTCATTAACCCCATTGAACATAGACAAGGACCGGATTCTGTGCGTCATCAGCAGAGTCAAATTTACATTTGACCGACAGGTCGACATTACACACTTCATTATATATTTATCCATGAACCCAGCTGCTCCCTAAAACTCCAAGTCGGTCACGTTATGGGAGATTCCGAATCGTTGTCCAGTCGTGCCATACTTTGTAACTATGCCCGTAGCCAAGATGTTGCTTAGGGTTTCTTCCTACTGTCTAAGAGACCAGCAAGTTTCCTAGGGGGCTCCGGTACAGAATTTTCCACACCATTTTTCAGTGCAGGGTAATTCTGTGCGTCAGCAAAGTTAATTTACATTTGACCGAAAGGTCAACATTACGCACTTCATTAAACCCAGAATGGCGGGACGAGTGTTTTAGTGTAATCCCTACTGTGTCCAAATGAATTTATTCCATGACATTACTCCTATCTGGGTAAAGAAGTGTGGCAATCTCTACACACTTACAGCGTCAATAGTAAGATATTTGTAAATGTACATGGCGTTAATATGACATAGACCTCCCTTCCCTTATAAAACTAAAGTTTGTCTTGTTTACTTTGTTTATTTAAAATTTTTTAGAAATACGTTTTAGGTTAGAAAAATACACTCATGTAGGAGATGTATATTGGCACACAGCCTCTACAAAGGTTTTCTCATACCATTATTCTCTATATCAGCGCAGAACAAAACAAAAGCGACCGAGCTCAGCATACCAGAAATTTGATTTCAGCGAACTTGAGAGTACTTTATTCTAAGCCCACGACATAAACTTATGGCTGGACTAAGGTTTGAGATTGCTGCAGGAACTTGACAGTTCCCAAGCATAGAAAAGCTTACTACTAGCTACAAAGTAAGCATACCTTTCTTTGCTGCCGAGAGTGCTTGTTGCTTCTTCGGGAATGTTCTCGGCCAACTTTTTGATGTGCCGTATAGACTCGTCGCCTTCTGTGAGCTGCCTGTGTGCGGGGACGTCCTGTGTATTTGGCGATTCAAAACTGACTGTCGATTGGCGAATGTTTCTCTGACAATCGTATCGCGACGGTCTCTCTTTTATGCTGGCGATCAAAAATCACGACGCAGCGATGAGATCATGATATAAACTAAATATAGCTCAGGATGCCCTACCCTTCCTGACACACCCGTTCAATGACCCCTACTTATGCAAATTCAGTGTCACACAGGTAAACATTGGGGTTTGTTTCATATGCATTCTTTTTAGACTATCAGAATAACTTCTGTAGTATGCACTGTCAAACAGTAGTGACTATATCTGCACTAGCACCATTTTTACCACCGTGTTTACGTTATGGTGGTCCCTTTCTATAGTGTGGACCTGTACAGAATCAAGCTTGAAGATTCTGTATGAACAACTATGTAAGAGGTGCTAGTGTCACGGAAATGAAAAGAAACCTACAGTGGACCTCACTGGAAGACAGAAGAAAGATGTCTAGACTATGCATGATGTACAAAATGACTAATAAACTGGTGGATGTCCCAACTACTAAGTACCTAATACCAGCCCAGAAGAGAACAAGAAATAGCCACGCATTCAAGTACCAGAGTTATCAACCAAGGATTGAGGTGTTCAAGAATTCATTCTTTCCTAGAACTATCGCAGAGTGGAACTCACTGTCACCAAGTACAGTAGGGGCATTGTCAATAGATAACTTTAAACAATGTCTAGAGCTAGAAGTTCAAGGGTTAGGTGTAACAAGTCGATCGGTGTAATATAGCCAGCTGCCGCCGCGCCGCGTGCCTGCGAAGCTGGTGTGTTACGCCGAAAGGCGGTTATACCGGCTATACAGATACAGATACAGATACTTTGACCATTTTCATTAACTTCTAGGAGTAGTCACTATGTACGGATTTAAACGTGTGCCACCCACAAATATAGGCCTAAGCCAATAGTGGTCATATGGCAATCAATTCATCATTGTACACTTCATTCAGTTTTCGAGTATATGAACAGAGTAGCAGCACGACTGGTCACTTGAGAAAATGTAAGTTATGATAAGATTCAAGACATTGCCATACTAGTGGCAGTTCAGAGGGATTCAAACATAACGATGACAATGGGAAGAAATTCCGTCATGTTTTGTAATCTTTCTGACCTGTTAAATTTGAAGTTTTTGAAGTGCACATTTATAACACTGATAGAGACTATTGCCCTTGATAAAGCTGGCTGGAAGTACCTGACGGAGGGGAGCAAGGGGCCAGTACCTGGCCTGTGCAGATAGGTAGGTAGGCAGGTAGGAAGGCAGGCTAGTTTTCGACTGGTAGGTTAATATTACACACTTCATTAACCCCATTGAACATAGACAGGAACGGAATTTTCCACACCATTGTTTAGATCAAGGTGATTTTGTGCGTCAGCAGAGTTAAATTTACATTCGACCGACAGGTCGACATTACACACTTCATTATATATTCACCCATGAACCCAGCTGCTCCTTAAAACTCTAGATCTAAGTCGTTCACGTTATGGAAGATTTCAAATCGTTGTCCAGTCGTGCCATTATTTCGGAACCATGCCCGTCGCCAGGATTTTTTCTTGGGGTTTCTTCCTACTGTCTGAGGCACCAACAAGTTTGCTAGGGCTATACGGTCTTACATCAGACTTCCTACCTGTTGTAATTTTTACAAATTTGTGCCGATCTCAAAAAAAAGAGAAAAATCAGGAGAACTTGAAGAAGGGGTTTAATGGCACGTCACAGGATGCCAACTTCATGGCCCTGAACCCGACTAAGTGCAAGGTCATGGTGTTTTGCTTTTTACGGAACCTCCCAACTTGAAGTGGTTTAGGCAGCACGGATACTTGGACTTATTCTTCAGCACAACCTGAAATGGACAGAGCATGTCACATCGATCGTCGGGAAAGCTAGTAAGAGACTCTATATGCTGAGAATCCTGAAGAAACATGGTCTGGACACAAGTGATCTCATCCTCATCTACATCGGGTTCGTGCGGCCTGTGTTGGAGTATGCATGCGTGATATGGCACCCTGGACTGACCAGAGAACTGTCGCAGAAGATAGAACGAGTGCAGAAACGATCACTTAGAGTAATACTTGGGTCGGAATATGACTGTTATCACACGGCCCTGGACACTACTGGACTCCGTAGATTAGATACCAGACGTGATGAACTGTGCCTGAGGTTTGCTCGTTTTCTCACAAGCAGTGAGAAATACCGTAATTGTTTGCCAGCACAAAGGGGGGATGTACATAATAGAACAATAAGGAAGAGCACGAAACTGACACAGTTTAAGTGCCGGACACAGCACATGTTAAACAGTACACTATCCTATTGTGTCCGCCTGCTGAATAACAGTTAAAGTTATAGCAGAACTGTAAGTCGTGATGATAGTGATTTTATTTAATTTTATAGTGATTTATGTCTTTGTTATTTCTGATTTGTAATGCATAATGCTAATAAGCATACGATTTTTTGTGGAAAAAAACGCAATTCAGCATTTTTGCTGCAAGGGTTTTTGTTGTTGCATAAACCATTCTCTCTTTCTCTCTCTCTTTTTCTAATCAAAAATCCGCAAATAGCACATAAAATTGTATACACCTGGGGTCCAAATGAACCCCGTTCGGGTGTTTGAGGGTGAAATGCACAAAGTTGGAACTACGTTATCCAAAAGTGCTAATATATGACAGGTGGAGACAGGGTGTCAATATAATACAGATTGCCTTATTCAGATGACGCCATGTATATTTTTTCTACCCTGAAATGTGATGACTTCAATAACTCTGAACTATTCCACTGAGAGAAACAAAATGCACTCACAAACACAAGAACGATAATAGTAAGCTTTATTTGTGAAGCTCTAAATGTAAGTTTCCGATCCCAGTCTCTACCTTTCAATATTGCAATAAGTAAAGTTATTAAGTAAAGAGTTTAAAAGTATTTTGGTATCATAAAACTATGGAATAATGAATGAGATGTTTGATACATTTATTACCAAAAACATAAACCATAACACACCGAAATTTAACTTGAGATAAGACAGAATAGTGTGATCGCAAAAACAATGCCTAATCTTTCACCTTGTCATTGAACATTGCCACTAACCTCCCGTCACAAAACATTATAATTTGATATAACATGCAAACATTCAGAACCTGAACACTGGCCGTCCAATGTCGGCTGACATTCGGAAGCAGCCTTACGAGAATTGAAATCAACGTCTACCTTTTATACAAATCGAGTTGAATATTAGTCAAAATTAAGTCAAATTTCACTTCCAACCACACCCCTCATCTACAACCAGACAACTGGTTTAGAAAAACTGTTAGTTCATGTCACAAACCTGTTTGTAAATTTGGTGAAAGTACCTACCTAGTTGCAATTTACTTGCATATACAATGCCTCTTTATATATTTTATATGATCACAGTAACATAGTTATCATGCATTGTTACCTAATCTATTCTACATTGTTATCATTAAGCTTTGCATGTCTGTGTGTTTTGATGTGATTTTGTAGTGTTAGATGGCTACATTTACATAAGCTTTAGCTTGAGCATGTCGCCATCTTGTCCTTTTTGTCATTAAATGTTGTAATAATATGATATGAATCTTTATTGCATGTTGCAGTATGCAAAAACATGAGTATTTCATACTGAAACGCTTTATTCTAATGCAAATTGATAAGAATCTATACATTACAACAATACTATAAACTACCTATCATCTACTTTTATTTGTCCTTTCTTCTCTCTTTTTGAAACATTTGGAAACATAATTACATAGTTTGTCTACTGCACATTCGTTCTTGCATGATATCAACTGTTTAAACATGTCCTGCTTTGACATTTTCTTACATAATGATAATAAAAATTAATAATAAAAAATTAATAATCGATGATAAAAAAAACAGACAACCATGACCGACCCTCCCGTTCACCCCCGAATGTTTGGATCAGGAGAATTTGGGCTGAATCTCCGCGGGTACCTCGTCGCTGGAAGAAAGAGGCCGGAGGCGGAGAAACTTCCACAGAACTTGAGTAACAATCCTTCGGTAGAGCAAGGGGAAATCCTCCCGGCAGATCTGGTAGAAAAAGAGTTTTTAGTTAATCCTAGTAACCATACAAGGAGGAACTGTTCAATGTCTCTAATAATAATCTGTGTGTGTGTGTGTGTTTTGCTTCAACATTCAAAGAAAACACTACATAGTGATGATTTTACTATATAGATGACATTCTCTGGGAACCCCAAAACTGATACGAGCGTGCAAATAAAATAGAATTTGACAAAACCGTTGCCTTAATTATAAAATCTACAAACCTTAAATAACTAAATACAGGTTTTACTGGTATGGTAAATAATAGACTCTTCATTTTCATTTTCTTCTTGTCCTTTAGAATGGATTTTGGGTGGGGTCATCGACAGCGTTGGGTTTAGTGAAAGAAGATAAAAGTTCTAAAATTTGCACATTTATTTCCTTTGTATTATTTTGTATAATTCATTTTTAATATAATTTTTGTATGTATTATGCATGTATGTGCTTATAAGGTAAATAAGATAAAAAAGATTAAAAGAAAATTAAAAACATTTTTTAAAAAATCCCTCACCTCTTCATAGTCGCTGGTTTTCATTCTGGTTCCAGAGAAAAGTCTCACCGGAACTTCTCTCTCCAGTAATTCTTCCACGTCCAAGTTCTTAATCCCCAGAGTACGCACGGTCACCTCCTCCAAATCTGATGGAGGAAACAAGTTGGTTATTATCGGATAGAAGACGATATCGAACGTTACCATATAGTCAGGTGACCAATCAGAAGGCTCCATTTCCCCCCAAACCCAGGTCATTAATTAAGGGAATAATGACCCGCCCCCGAGGTGAATACGGCGTGATAACGCCTTGTCAGTTGCTATAACCACCGAATTAAGCCACAGAGTGAGCACAGCAAGGCTTTATCACACCATATTTACCGAGAAAAGGCGGGATATTAACGCTATTATCATATAGCCTATCAAACCTTACACAGTAAAGAGTGACACATTCCTGTTAGTGTATAACCCATCCGCTGGCCACTGTTCCTGTGCATCTTTCCCCGATTCCAAGGACCCACGTATTGAGTCTAAATTGGCCTCAATCAGTTCTTCTATGACAAATTCTGACATGTACCATCGTCTACTATATACCCTTTAGTGTGGTCTTTTTACCTGTTCTTTTAGAGTTCATATGATTTCACTGGAACTTTGGAACAGAACTGGTATTCCATTTGTGGTTATTTTGGGCCGAAGGAATAGAGCAAGTTTCCATTTGAAGTCATCTGTGGTCACTTGGATGTTTCTATACAGAAATATGGGGGTGGCGCGAAATATGTTTTATTTTCGTTTGCTCAAAATTCACATGTATTGACATGGTCTTTATTTTGTTATGTATTGGTAAATAAATTGGTTGATGACAAGACGGTAAACATTTCTATTCAACAAGGAAACGTGCTACAAATGTCAGAAAAAGAGTCCACTCCCCTGCATAATGGTTTGCTCCAGGGTGTGCATTATTCTGTAACTGAGCACACTTGTGAGAATAAAGCACGCCTGGGATGATTTTGCATTACTTGTATCGTGCTAACTGTGACATTATCTTGTCATAATCAATATTTTTTATTTTTTATTTTATTCACATGGATTTTTGAGCATTTGATAGGAAGCACTTGTTGTGCTTATGTAAATCCGCTGCTCATAAAACATAATACAAATGTAAACATAAAGATGACATAAAGTATAGCATTGACATAAAATGAAAGTGGCTGGCGCACCAATACCTAGCATAACATTATTGAGATTGGTCAAATCTTCCAGAGTGGTGGATATAGTTAAACACAATATCAAAGATACGGCAGTTGGTAGGGTATGGGAGGGAGGGGCTACCTGTAAGAAGTAAAGTACATAATGTGGCGTCATTTACGTTGAGTGGGTCGGAAGGAAGTATGTTTTCAAGATGAAGGCAAGATATGGATAACAACATTTCAGGTCCTTTCAGTATTATAACATTTGCAGTGTAATAAATAGTGTTCTGGTGTCTCATTTGGATGCCCACATTTGCACTCGGGACTACTGATACAGTGATGCTGGAATAGGTGGTAGTTCAGCTGGCTGAAACCAAGCCTGAGTCGGTTAAGGTGAGTCACATGGTGTCCGTGGCCGTGAGAGTAGTGAGGATATCTGGGCATGCTATCAAAGCAAGACTCTAATTCATTTTTGAATGCTGGAATGGATGGGGATTCTTTGGCGGTCTGGGGTAACTTGTTCCAGGAGAAAACAGCAGAAGGCAAGAAAGATTTTTTGTACTTTTCAGTTTTGAGGGTAAAAGGGAGATAATTCTGGTCAGTACGCAGGCCATATGGGGTGGAATCACGGATAATTTCATAATCAATATGAAATAGGGGCTTGTGATTGGTCAACGCCAGCTGGCTGTATAACAATATCCGATATACTAACCCGCTCAATTTGAATGACGTTAGAAAAGATGTAGACGTTACCATTACATGACAGGGTGGTGTTTTCTTCTTCTAACCTACTTCTAACCGTCATTGTAAGTTTTTGCCCTCCCTTACAAGTTACGGATTCATTACTGTGGAAGAAAGTTCTAATTATACCCACAGTGACCATGTATGGCCTAAATAATAAAATACTACATGTACATATCGGTACTCAAAACCCCTTGACCACAGTAAGCAAACTTCATCTTATATAGCCAAGAACAGTTGTTTTTAAAGAGTAAGGAAACTCACCAGGATTCTCTGCCAGCTGCTGGATACTGTGGATGTAGCTGACTGAACCGATCATGTCCTCCTGTAAGATTAACATGGCAGTCAAACTTAGGCCACACC